CGACCCGCTTCGTCCACTGCGTCTGCGCGCAGTTAACACTGATGTAGTCGAACACTCGCCTTGCCCACCGATGCCTGTCCATATGTAGGAGTCGCCCTCGGTAGGTTAGCTTGTTTGATTCCTCTCGTGCCTCAAACGTCGACCACCCGATGTCTCCTTGTATGGGCTCAATCGCCACGTTGCCGTGGCAGCTGAGTGCTTGGCGACCGACATCCCTCTGCCTGCGTTCTATCCAGGCTCGTGTGTCAGCCGAGGCACAGACGATCTCATTGGCAAACGTGAGCCCAGGCACATCAACAGCTTTCCACAATTCCTTGATCATCAAATATCTGTTACAGCTCCACATTATGCGCCGACGTAAGATATTTTGCCCTATCTGGGCTGCCTGTCTAAGGTGTATTTGGTATTCGTCACAGTAGTCGGGCCCATTCGTTAGTGTGACTCCCAGGTACCTATACTTCGCAGTCATCGTAACGACTTCCTTTTGCAGCTGTGACTTATTATTTACAATGCCGTTCCCAGAGAACTGCACCACTGCCGATTTCTGAACATTAAACTTCAGACCCAACACGGACGATATTTCCACGCAAATATCTGCTAGCCTCTGCAACGTGTTCATGTCTCCAGCCATGAGGACGAGATCATCCGCGTATGCAAGACCCGGTAATGTCCAGTGTGTCACGCATCCATCTTCTATGCGGCGGAGTGAAAACCCTAAACCGGATGTTATTAATTTGCGCTCCATCTCTGCCGTGTACCACATGTACAATAGAGGTGAGAGAGGGCATCCGTGCTTCAGTCCCCTCTTTACATTGACACCCGTTGAATGTACACCTCCAAACGCGGCTGTAACAGTACCTCCGTCGTATAGTCGCTGTATCAATTCCGTCCACTGGTCAGGCATGGCTAGTCTTTTGAGGCAGCGGAATAGGGACCCATCGGGCACGCTGTCATTTGCCTTAGCGACATCCAGGAAGCAGCACATGAAGTCCCTGTTTTCTTTTCTGGCTATCTCTATGATATGTGTTAATACAAAGAGGTTATCCTCCAGTCGGCGGTCTTTTCGGAAGCCGTTCTGAAGTTCAGTCAGATTTCCATTCCCTTCTGTCCAGACACACATCCATTCTTTTATCACGTGCGCGAACACTCAGTAGATGACGCTTGTCACGGTCAGAGGGCGGTAGTCCTGCAGTCGTCGCTTGTTTCCTCCTCGTTTCGGCAGCAGTACGATTCGACTATTCACCCAATCGTCGGGAATGGAGCTGCCTGAAATTATATTCGTGAAGATGCATGCAAGTTGTCTTCTACTCTAGTCGCCCATGCATTTAAGAATAGCCACAGGTATTCCATCCTTTCCACGTGCTGTGTTAGTTTTGATATGGGCGATTGCTCTGTCAAGTGCCATTGTTCGATACGTCCCATTTCGGCTCAACCAACCGCTCTTTTGATCCTGGCGGTTGTGATTCGGTCAGGTTACTTGGTTTTCTCGGTGTTGCCACTGGGTCTCTTGACTCGAACATCGATGTCAGATATTCAGATAAGTATTCCGCTAAATTCACTAGATCTTTCCCTGTGTCGTCCACCAAGACGGTTGGTACAGGGTCCCTACTGTCCATTGACCTCACGTATCGCCAGAATTTTTCGGCTGCTGCTTTACCGCTATCTCTAAGTTCTTCTATTTTTCGCTGGTCTGCCTCTGTCATCTTGTACTGTATTAAAACTTGCAGCTTGTGTTTTAAAGTAAGGAACTCGTTCCAAGCCAGCTCCACTTCTACGCTGTTTCCTCCCTTGACAGCGCATCGATGAGCCTGGTTGACTTGCCTCCTCACATCTCGTGCTGCTTTTACCTCCGCATTCCACCAGCTATTGCGCCGAACTCCGCCTCGTGACCGTCTCCGGATGGAGTGTACTTTAATTAGATGTTTGAGTTCCCTGATAAACTCCTCATAGTTCGTCGCTGAAGCCCGTCTTGTGCTGGCTTCGAACTCCTTCACCACGGTTTCTATGGCGCTCACAGGTAACACAAGTTCGACAGTCTTGTACTATTCCTTTTGTGGCCGCTTTCATGTTGAAGACGAAAAGTCTACCCTCAGACGGTTATGATCACTGCCTAAACTGAATGTTCCATCTTCGTCTATCTGCATGCTCTGTAGTTTACGTCCAAGTGCACTGGGAGTTAGAACGTAGTCAATAAACGTTTTGCTATTCCTTGCGCACCATGTGAACTATCCTACACAAGTCTCACGGAGATTGATTATTTCAAGGTTTAAGTCATCCGCCAGTTCACGTAATAGCTTTCCATTACCATCTTCTTTTCCGCCCAATTCCTCCAAATGTCCGTTGAAGTCTCCAATTATAAGTACTTCGGCTTCCTTAGCCATGCCCTCTGTCGGATTCAACATGAACCCTGTGTGACATCACGTAAGCTCCCTCTGTCGGACGCAACTCGAACCCGTGGAAAACACGAACCCTGTGCGACATCATGTGAGCGCCCTCCGTCGGACGCAACTCGAACCTGGGGAAAATCACGTGGTTAACATCACGTGATGGGAGCCGTGGTGACGACATCTCTAATACGTGTCTTTCCCACGCTTCTGACATGCGCCGCGTACGTGACTGATAACATCGGCTGTTAACACCTGGTGATTACAGGCTAAGTGTCGCGTACGTGACACGCGCCGCGTACGTGACCTCACACCTATACCGCGTACGTGACTCGAGGGCGGGACCTCGATGAGCTCCGATTGGTCACTGGCTAATGCCCTGTGGGCGGGGCCATCCATGCCAACGGCCTGTCATTTGTCATGGGTCGGATTGGGCTTGGCCCCGCCCTGCTGCGCTGTGATTGGTCGGATCGGGTTTGGCTCCGCCCTCCTGGGCTTTGAACATGTGACAGTAATGGGGGGGCTACGAGGCCACGAACACCGCTTGAATCGCGTGCGCGAAATCACGTGATAGGAAGACGAGCAACGTTAGCGCCCAGCGATGCATTACGTCACACGACCATCGTCACATGTCCTGCTTTTCCTCCATCCTGTTTTTAACCGCATTACAAAAGCCAAGTGGCAGGAAAACACGTGATCTGAATTGCACGCGCACACACACACACAACGGATAACTAAGACGAGTTAAGCGGTTTCGGAAGCAATGCTCGTAACTCAGGGGGTAGGGTGTCGAGCTGCTGTGCACAAGGTAGAAAGGTCGATTCCGAGCCGGCCGCGGAGCCTTTTTTAGCGATTAAAATGCATTTGCCACGCAGCGATTCAAATAATGTCACGTGACCGTCATGTGACCGCAGCGCAGCGCCCTCCTTCGGATGCAGCACAAACCCTGTGCGACATCACGTGAGCGCCCTCTGTCGGACGAAGCTCGGACCCTGTGACATCACGTGGTTGTTATCAGATGATGACCACAGCTGTCAACACCTGGTCAACCACGCTTGAGGTCTGACGTTTGAGGTACGACCTCACACCTGTGCCGCGTACCTCGGGATGCGGGACCCGGGCGAGCTCCGATTGCCCGGGTTTGCCCCAGTCTGCCCCAGTCTTAGGTTTACAATCATGTTCTCCGATTGGTCACTGCCCAACACCCTGTGGGCGGGGTCTCCTATGTTGGTGAACACCATGGGCGTGGCCATCGATGCCCACGGCCTGACATTGGTCACTGGGATGGGAGAGAGGGAAGGGGTCCCGCCCTCCTGCGCTGTGATTGGTCGGTGGCCGAACTGGTACATGTTTTCTGTACGCTGTGCTCGGAGGCGAGTATTGTATGGTGCGCTGCGATCCTTATGTCGGATGTTTGGTGATCGAATCGGTATTTCTCAAACGCCCGGTCACCGAATCAAAAAATTAAACGTACCGGAGCACCTACGGCTGAGCTGGCGAGCTTGCTCTCGTAGAGGAGTAAACAAAGGAGCTTGCCGTCCATAAGGAGCTTCCCGACAGCAGCTTATGGTCCATAAGGAGCTTCCCGTCCATAAGGAGCTCCTTATGGACGCTCTCGTAGAGGAGTAAACAAAGGAGCTTCCCGTCCATAAGACCGTCCTCAGGACGGTCTTATGGACGGGAAGCCCAGAAGTTGATGAATGACAAAGACGATCCATCTCGACTGCGGCTTTCCGGGAGAGAGCGAATTCCGCCTACGAGCTTGTCGTCTGCTAAACCCAACTCAACGAAACCGCCACCGACTCGGCGGTAACTCCAGGTAACTCTCGCCTCATTGAGCTGCACTACAGCGGAGTTACTCTCGACCACAAAATATTTATTAAGAAGAACTGCGACGGCTGTCAGTTGTAATGTTTGTACGCAAGCTATTTGACGGGCTTATCGAAAAGCATCCAAAAAGTTTCAGTGCCGACAGCAGCTTAGAAACAGCGGAAAACGTCACTTTTTCTCGTTCTGCGCATGCATTGGCTGGTGTCAATCAATGGCCGCCGGTGGCGACACTCGGCCCCAGCTGCCGAGCCCGCGGTCCGCGATCCAGCCTATTACAATAGAGATCAGTGGTACTGACCTTCGCTGCCTTCGCCGAGAAATGTTCGAGCGTCGAAAGCATCAAGCTGCCGGTGATTGTTGCCAAACCGAGTGCAATGTCGTCCCGTATTAAAAAACGCAGACGCGAGAATGACACCGATTCACGACTCCGCCAAAGCGACTTGGCCCTGGGAGCCGCCATTTTTTAACTGTGCTCGTCTTGGCTTTAGCCAACCTATCATCACGAATCCTCCTTGGAGGAGCGCAAAGACCCTTTGCGTACGGACGCAATTTCCGAAAAAAAATAGCGTACTCTGAAATAACGCACGCACAGCGCAAAATCTGGTTAGCGTTCGGCGCATACGCAGTGTCGACGACGCTATTTCTTTGCTTACGCAAAGCTTTAGCGTGCGCTATTCGAAAACTCCCTAATGGCGACTGCCAATGTTGCTTGATGAAAGTTTGAAAAAGGTCTTTACGTAACACAAATTGTGAAAACACAAAAACAGGATGAGCGAAAAATCTCACTCCTTTGTACGGCTTCCATCGATCCAGCTCCACAATTTTCCTCCACACCACAAAGAAATTGTTGCGAGCCGCGAAAACCAGCAAGCACTCCCCCTCGTCGGTCATCAATGCTGCCACATTTCTTAGAGCAGCTCCGAGGTCCTCCGCCCAGTTCAGGGCGAAGAAAGAGTAGACGCGCTCAAACTTGCCGTACATCTTGACGAGCCCCGACACGTCGCTTTCGATGTCATGTACCTCGTACGTGATCTGCGGATGCGGGAAGTTCTCCTTGGCATACTTCACCATTTCAGCGGACACGTCAATGGCCACCATCATGCCGCAAGGTTGGCAGCGTGGCAACAGCTCCTGACGCGTGAAGTCGCCTGTCCCGCAGCCAACGTCGATGAACTGCCGGTTACGGTTTGGTCCACTGCCGAAGGACTTTTGCAGTAAGTCGAGACCTTTTATGTTGATGTATTTCTGTAATTGGTTGGCTTTGATGTAGGCCTCCGGAACAATAGCCATTCCAAGAGGCGGCTTGCCGGCAACGTCACCATCAGATGAAGCAGATGCCATTTTCGCCACTGAAGTGTCACGAACTGTATAGAATAAAGACGTTTTAGTAAATTCTGCGGTGAAATCTATAACATTAATCGATGCGAATCGGAGGTACTGGTCAGTCTAAATGGCAACTAAAACTTGTCAATAGGTAGTTTTTCAAGCTCTAGTATAATTTGATGCCGATAATATAATTTTAAACGCGCGAACAAATATGGCAATCAAAAGTTGGAAAACTATCATCACTGGTCTGCTGCCAACTGCATCATTTTTAATTACCAAGTTATGAAATAAAGAAAAGTCTAATATCAACGAACCCATTCTAGCTAGTCCGAGAAATTAATGTAAACTGACATTAATTCTGGTCCAAGCATATGGTGCTATCAAAGTCGCGACTTTTGACAATTGGCAAAACTTCCCAAGTCACGGCCAATCCTTCCGGACCAAAAGCCCCGAAATAATATTAATTAAACAAAAAAATATTCCGTTTCTCTTTTTTAATTACAAATATTTCCTGAATATATATTTATATTTTTTTTTTTTAATTTTCACGCGCCGTCGTTTTGCCAGCCGCAGCCTTCCCAGTTTAAAGGAACGCCCACCCGTTTTCAAGTCTGCACAGTGCTCCCCGCTGCACGTTTCGCTGGCGTCATAAACCAGTGGAGCAGAGGTGAGCTTTAGTATTGCGTATACGAGCAAACGCAAGCACTGTGTGTTCACGTTTGGGTTGCGTGTTCCACACTGCGCATGCGCGAGAAGCATGAAACTCTAACGCAATCGCAGAGGGCTTGAGCTTCCTTCTAAACGCAATACTAAAACTCTGGTACAATCCCATACCGACTGCAGCATTGCATTGGCACAGTGAAGAGTGTTGCGTGCATTCAGAAATGACTGTTTGGGAGCCATAATCGCGAGCAGTTGCGCCGTGCCCGCTGAGCAAGAGATCTGGGGGACACTCTCTAGAACGCTTGCCGTTTCCACCGCGAGAGGGCGAGCAATGAGCTGGAGACGCGAATACTTTCAGACAGCTGTTTCAGAATAAGCGAAGAGCGCGCGCGCACTGCTTTGATGGAGCCTCAAGATGCTCAAGCGCACGTTCGATCATCGCTTTGACTGCATAGCAGCAGAATGTCGTCCGCAAGTATTGTGCGCTAAATATGGTTTAGCGCAACTGTGGTTAAGTGTACCCATGGAACAATATAAAAAGCGGGCGACTTGCAAACTGTGTTCAAATTCAAAGGCCTCAATTCATTATCGAAGACTTCCTTTTGTTGCTTTGCACTCGTACTGAAGACATTTCGGCAGGAAGCTTTCAAGAGAAGGAATGACAAACCCTTGGAGTCTGCTTGGCTCATGTTTAGATTTGTTGATGTATTATATCAAATAGTGAGTAAAAAAGCAATCTGCTTGTACTCCGACTAGATGCATGGTAGGTTTTACGGTAATCAGACTCTCCACATCACAATTACATTTACAATTGATTTCTTTACTCACGCTGTTTTCAATTATTCAGATCATTAAACAATCCATTTTTCAAATGTAGAAAAAGTATCAATAACAAATGTACTCTTTTGTAGAAATAGTAATACAAATAATAATAAATATTCTAAATATGATTTGAACCGAATTTGATTTAAATACGTAAGATATAAATGCGTGAACCTGTTTGTGCTAACTAATATTTGATATTCGATTTTATTTATCTCGTAAATGGCACTCGTTACATTACAGTGCAGTGAACGAAATTTCACAAGGTTTTCAATTTTTATCATAATAAATGACGAGAAGTCATTTGTTCGTGCAATACTAGTAGAGTTAAATCTTCGCGCAATTCGGTAAAACGTGCGTAAATAACCCTGTTTAGTATCATGTTCACCGAGGGATCTTCCCAGCCCAGCTTGTGTGAACACTTTTTCGGAGAGTAAAATTATAAAATGGAAGCAGATACCAACTGCGGCCACTTCAGTTGACACCACTCACTGACGTATAAGCGAATTCATATTTTACAATATGAGCATCTACCTATAGCCCGTTGCAACTCAAGACGGTAGGGCGAGGGAAAGGAAGGCCGGGGAGGAGGAAGCAGACGGAACGCTGGAGAGAGAAGGAGGTTTCCCCCTCTCTTCTCCAGCGTTCCGTCTGCTTCCTCCTCCCCGGCCCGTCTTACCCTCGCCCTTCGTTCTTAGGTTGCAACGGACTATAGTTCGACGTCATGCCCTGAGTTACGTGGCGACAAAAGCGAAACATATATTTAAGTTACAGTTACAGTAAATTAAGAATAAATGAGACGCGTTAAGTTACAGTTACTTCGTCTTTGTAGCTTAGTTCCTTTCAAAACTTCAATTTTTTTTTATTTAACTATGAATACATTGATGACAACACACGGTGACTCCGATTTATATTTATTTGGAGCTCTCAGAAAACTTTCATTTCACTTTTCGATGTATACATTATTACTGGCGCACAACTTCGTTGAACCAAAGCGTTTACTGCATCGATACAGGATGGACTAATTAATAAATTTATTAGTTCATGTAACACAGCCGCAAATACCTTTCAAAAGTATTATCACTTTACTTTCCCGTTTTGATGTACAATTGTTTTTATTGCTAAAGAGGAGCTCAACAAATACGTTGGACGGCAGTGCACTATTCAGGCGTAAAATGTTTTTCTAATCGTGGAAAAGTATTTGGGGATTGCGAGTGCTATCGGGGTTTCAGCCTGCGATCGCTCAGTCTCCATGCTAGCGGCGATGTTCAGAAATTAAAGACTATACTCACCCGAGGTGCTTGTGAAGGTTGGAAGAAGAGGACCTCCCGGCTGCGTGTACTCTTTTGCAGTGTTTGCAGAAAGCAGTGAAGATATTGCCACTAAATACGACAAGGTCTAAGTGCAGTTCATAGCCGGGTCATGATAACAACTGCCGTTCGTCAGTCATGAGATTCTCTAGTTTGACCGATAACGGTTATTTACAATACAGATATTTTCCATCTTTCTTCCGACATTCACTATCCCTTCCTCTTTCTCTTAACAGTTGTCTGATTCCCCCTTCTCGGCTGACAGGAAAGCAGGATATCGATGAACAGAAGAGTCCTTTACAATGGTAGGGAGGGGAACAGAAGTCTAAAGCATTTGCAACTGAAAAAAAGTGTAAAAGATCGTTAGTATTAAAGAAGGTAAAGAAAGGACTGAACAAAAACAACACAAAGTCGTCTCGCAATGCGTTACGCTTTTTTTTTTTTTTTTTTTTTTTTTGTAATTTTACGCAGAACGAAACTTTCCCTTTACCAGGTGCCCAGGACCCCTGGGAAAGGGCAAGTCGGCCAGTTGAGACATCGTCTGCGGCCCCGGTCCTACAGTGCCTCTCCTTGCCGCAACTCGCTATAGGAAAGAAAGCTATTCCGGCGACTGCGGCGGAACCGGCGACAGAACGACAGAGGCTCACGTTTGGCCTTAAACAATGGACCTTTTTCGACTACGGAGCACCGTCTAGGGAGTTGTCTACGTACTACAAATTAAGAGCAGCCTAACATGCCTCCGCCCGTCAGAACACATTGGCATCGTGCCGTTGTATAAGTTTGCAGTGCTTTTTACACCCCCTACTACCGAGACCAAAAAACAAAGCGTCAAATTAGACTAAATACGCGCAAAGAGAGATGGTGACAATGTTGCTGTTACCATTTTCGCAGGGCACCGCGTTCCGGTGTCCTGCAAAAATGGCGACAGCGGGAGTGGACGCATGCGCAGAAGCTTTCTGGGAAAAGGTTCATTCACCGTCAGGTTGTCTACGCGTCGCGTGTTTCCGCGAGGTGGCTCTGTCTCTTGGCTGGAGAGGCGGGGTGTTCGATGAGGCCGGAAAGGTGAAGACGGGGCGAGAGAGCCCCGCACAAAAATGTTGAAATAAAAGCAAATGCCAAATACGCTTTTTCGTGCGAAGATAGAGGAGAAACAAAAGTAGAAAAACGCTTGCCATTTGCTCCCGCAACTTTGCTATGAGAAAGAAAAAAAAGTTTTGAGTTCTTGTTTTATTTTTGCGTGTGTAATGTGGGGCCCAACCTCCGCATATGATATAGCCCGCTTTAGTTTTCACCAGATAGGTTAAATTTTTTTTTTCGCAAAAAGTATCAGCATCTTTACGGATATCTTTTAGTTACTTTTTCAAAAAAATAATTAAATTATTGTTAGAACTACAGCAGAAAAAAGTATCGAGTTACAGTTAAAACTTACGAAACAAAGCATAGAATTACAGTATCGCAATAAAAGTATCGCGATAAGACTGGACAAAAGTGACTCCCCTTTTCCGTCGCCCACTTATCGCATGTTAGCTTTGCCATAGTTAGTAATCTGGGTACCTACTCCTGCTTTTTCCCCAATTTCTATGCGGTGCAGAGCGACTAATTATTGATTGCAGAAAAGACAAATGGACACTTCAGTGGTAATCAACAGTACAGATCTAGTGATAGCTGCGACACGTCACGGCGAAGTCGTTGGGCACTGGCGTCGCGCTCACACAACGTGGAGTGCGCGACAAAAGCGTTCGGTACATAATAGACGTCTCACCATTTTGTCCCGAACGCTTTTGTTTCTTTTTTGTTCCGGAGCGCGAGAAAGCGCGTCTTTCGGCATTTACGCTACTACAACGGCATTTCATTGTTGGCAATTTTTTTTTAGAGAACGTGTGCAGTGGGCATTTGGCTCCACAAAGATTATAAGTGTATAACGGGTTGTTAACGCTATGGCGTAGCTGTGCATTTCGCACGCAGCGAACCCGGGTTCGATTCCCGCGGTCGCCGGCGATCTTTTTCAAGGATTTGGCATCATCGAGGACGGACCCGCTACAACGCCAACTACAAGGTCAACAACAACAACTACGACACCAGCAATGGACGTCGTTTCCAGTAGTGGGAAGAGCCCATAACAGCTTAATACTTTCTTACTGTTGATATTCCGGTGCTCGTTCGGAGCCCGGAAAGCTACGAACTTGGAATTTTTGAGCAGCTTCCAATTTACGTCCTTGCACGCAACATGTACACCTCGTTCGGGCTTTGACCGCACGCAATTGATGTTCGTTCTAGACTAACAAAAAAACTTTGCTAAAAAAAAAAAAACGAAGCTCGGGTGCAGATAGCTACAAGAGCGAGCTTCAGGTTTCTCCCAAGCATGCAAGCCCGTGCAGCCCATGCAATGTTCAAGGCCAGATAGATGCTCGTACTTGCAGCTTCAATCTCGCCCCCACTTAAATTAAAAAGAAATACCAAGGTTTAACTCTCATATACTTTTATGCACCGGTGCAGGAGGTATAAGTAAATCGAAAGCAGTTACTGTTACAGCCACATACATGTCAGCAGTACCACAAGACCCAAACAACTCCAACACAACAACTCCGCGACTCTATACTCTGCACACCTTATACCCACCCGATTCGTATATATGCCGTATAATATTCTGAGAAGGATAAGGCAATTAAGTGCAACTGGTTACTAGATAAATACAAAGAGCATTTGCAACTATTATTGGTATAGAAGTGTTCTGTGAATTTGAACGGGAAGGCTAGACACATCTTTTAATCTAGCGCTTCGATGGGCATCATAGTATGAAAGTAATCAACTCAAGTAACACGGCACTGCATGCTCCCGGTCAGTTTCGGATTCGGATTCACTTAGTGATAAGCTTTCTCAGGCCATGTTGCCCCATGCACATTCCGCGGGTGTAATATCAGCAAAAGTTGTAACAATATCTGCATTCCTCGACAGTAATCGGCTTAGGCTAACATAATTCTTAGCCTTGTGCTGCTCAATTCATTCATATTTCCATTAAATTCAGGGCTTGAGAATAGGTGACTTAATTATAGCGGGAAAACGCTGACGGCATGCTTTCCTCTGTTTGTCGAGTGACCGATGAGTTGCTCTACTTGCTCCCCTTTAAGATCCCCTTAATCAAACATATTTAATATATATATATATATATATCATAACCCAGGTTTTTTCTTTTATGTGCTGCATTTGGAGAACATATACGCCCCTATCAACTTGTGTTGACAACGAAATGTTGGTATTTTCCAAGCATGGGGGCACTTCATATGAGCAGTGTAATAGGCTCAAAACACGAGGGCATTACAACCAAAACTATACTGTATAAATACAAAGTGGCTATAATGAAGACAAAGTGTTCAGGTGGCAATTGTTTGTATCTTTTATTTTCCAAACTTTAATCCTTAATTTTAAAGGAAATATTTGCCTTTAAAACAAATTAGAATTTTTAAAACAACCTTGTAGGTACTTTTGAAATATTGTGGAATTGTAAATCAGAAAAGGGAGTCTTTTCCAGCACTGGACCATCAAACTATAATAATTATAGTAATTATATATCCTGAAGCCAGAAACAACCTTGCAGCCTTCTTATTGGCACCTTTAAATATGAAACAAAAAAAAAAAAACTTATATGAAAACAGGGAACATTTAACCAAAATCAAGGGTTTGTATGGCTTGAAAGCATACTAAATAATCAGAACATGATACAGTGCAGTCATGTCACCATTCTGAAAAAAAAAATCTGAAAATATGCATAACACAAAAACGGTTATGATTTACACCAAGCAAGATACTGGGCCATAAAACTAAAGTTTCAACAATCAAAAAAAGTACGGGGGGGGGGGGGGTACCCAAAAGTATTTGGGATTATTTCAGGGAGGTCGGGCGTTCGTAGTATAAGTATCCCCCTCTAGCAGCGCTGCGCCGCACACTTCCCGAGTCAGCTTGCTGACCGGCGCCGTCAGCTAAGGATCTGGAGGCATGTAATTTTTTTTAATTTTTTCCCCAAGCGCTTCAAAATCACTCTTCGTTTTTTGCAATGTCTAACTTGAAGGACGTTCCACATTCACAAAACGATTTCCTTCCAAGATGTTTCATACGGGAGAACAAAAAAAAAAGTCACACGGGGTGAGGTCCTGAGAATACGGGAAATGGAGAAGCGGTGTCACGCCATTTTCGCTAAAAAGAATTGTTGCACCTACAGGGCAGTGTGTGCTGGGACACTGTTGCAATGGAACTATCATACCCACTTTCCTCACATTGGCGCATTTCTGCTTTACTGAGTTTCGCAAGTGCCGCAAAATTCCCAGGTAAAACACCTGATGAACAGTTTCATCAAGAGGAACAAACTCGGAGTGAACAATGCCCAATTTTTTTTTTTGTTTCCATCAGTATAGGAGGTTGAAAGTCGCCCTGAACGAGGTTGGTCGTCGATCAATAATTGACCTGCCTTAAAGCAAGAAAACCACTCATAAACTTGCGATTTCTTATTAGCTTCTTCTTTGTAAACTCTCTGAAGCATTACTAGAGTTTCCGGCACAATACTTCCGGTTCCCCCCCCCCCCCCCCTCAAAAAAAAAATATTCACGGTTGCATGTTGTTTCTTTATATCAGACATTGCAAAAAAAAAAAAAAACAAAAACAAGATATGAATTTGGGCGGATTTGAAAAACAAACATTTTAGCCGACAATGAGAGTCTGCGCACTCACTCGGAAGAGGGCTGCTGAACGCTGGTGGCTGAGGAAGCTGGTACTACAAAAGCTTTCAGAAATTTATTCCGATAACTTTTGCATCCACCCTCGTATTATTCACTGTGCCAAAAGCTTTCAATATATGCCATGTTTATAAAAAAAAAGGATGGCAACCAGTGGAATGGGTTCAATGGACGTTATGTGAAATTGCTTGGTGATCTGACAACAATGAGAGCGTCGCCATTTTAATGTTGGCAGGCGTCGTCGGTACAAAGACACGGTGGAGGCATCGTCGGGTCGTCGCCATCGTGTACACAGGCCTCCG